AAAATAGGCATAGAGTGTGCTACAAGTCTCAGATCATACTAAAAACTTGGGAAACATGTCTTCGAGTCAAATTCAACAACTACCAGGTGTTATATCCACATCTGGGTACCTCCATGGAACGATACTGTTGTAAGTGCACACTAGGATATCTCTAGTTGGCTCAAAGTTCAGATCATGACATTGAGATGTACATACTCAAACCTTTTGGTCTGGAGGGCCTCTATATGATTCGAATACATGATTAACCAAGTTTGAGCATAGTCTGAGGTGTATAGCACGCTCTATGCCTATTTTATTTCCTGAAAATCGCATTTTTTGGCAGAATCCATACAGATCAGGGAATACCATCGCTTCAGGTGCTGTATAAATCGTTCTTGCATATGGCAAAGCTTAGTACTATATAGTACAGTCTATATACGACGTCTTAGCCCCCTGGCTACTCTTAAGGCCCCAATATTCCATGATAATTCCTCAAAAAATCGAGTTTTGAGGGAAAATCAATAAAGATCAGTGTATACCATCGCATCTGGTGCCATATAAATGGTTCTTGGACACGGATCGAGTGTATACTATGTTGGAGAGTATACCTACCGAGGTTTGAGGTCCTACCTGCGCTTAGACACTCATTATTAGTATTTAATTCCTCAAAAATGCGAGTTTTGATGGTTACTCACCATTGATCACTCCATGTACATATGCCTGCCCACATATTGTCAAATATAACACCTGGAGGGCGTAGCTAGTATACTACAGCACTCAGATATGTATTCCTGACCTCAGACCTTGAGAGGCCATGCCATTACTGAGCCCAACTTCGACTCAACACCACCTGTATGTAATGATATATTTCCCTATTTGGTCATACAGCTTTGACCTCCTCCGGCCTAGAGCGGGCAATTACAGCCTATTCTCTCCACAGAATGCTCTGTTTTCGCTTCAGGCATATATATATTATGCAGAGACCATGCCTGTACCACTAGTATATTAAACATCCCTACTTTTATTTCGATCTTTTACAACACAGCCACAGACCCAAACATCGAAGCAGTGCTACTATTACACCATATACCTGCTTTAATTTCGCTTTAGGTGCCTACTGTACATCTATAAACACTGTATAGACTGCTATTAGGTAGAATACCCATGCATAAACAAGCTTTTAGGCCGCTTTGCTGGCATTCTAAATATGGTAATAAAACAGCTTTGACCGCAGCTATCGCTGTAATTTCGCTTCAGGGACCTATTATATATGTAAAGACACTATCTACACTCTTATAGGGCGGAATATCCATGTAGAAGCAGGCTTTTTAGGCCGCTTTTACTGTTTTGATGGCATTACCCAATTTGGTAATGCTCAGCCAGCTTTGACCGAACGTCATCTAGATTTTTCGATGCAATCCATCCCCTTATGGTGCCTAATCCACCTCGGAGTAGTGCTCAAATATTAATACATTATATATAGTCTTTTTTGGGCTAGCTACCATCCCAGAAATTGCCTAAATAGGCCCGTAAATAACCTATTTTTGTCCAGCCACCCAAAAGCTGCAACGAACGAGTCACATGACCTCATCAAATGCGAACACAGAGGGATTAAAATGCCCCTACACTCTTACTGTACAGTAGCTTACTGGGTTTATTATCATAATCTCCACAACAGGTACTGGGGGTATTTAAATAATGCTACTGCAATGGGTGTTTCTACAACATCGATAATGATCAGAATGGTGTGCCTATAGATACAGCTGACCAAAGTAAACTACTTTTGTTCATGAAATGCCTTGACGTAAGCTGTAGAGATCTCGTTACACAGTTATTTGTAACTAAATACAAAGACTTCCATTACTTCTGTCAAAAGAAGGGGCTCGCCATGGGCGTAGCCTGTAGTCTGGACTTGGCTAACTTGTTCGGATTTTGGTTCGAGCACCAAGCAGGAGTAATGGATCTACCGGAATTTTTATACTATGGTAGATACATCGACGATTGTCTTGCCCTAGTTTACGCCTCAACAGCAGCCGAGGCACTAGATATTTGTAGTAAGACAATACAATTCGATGGCTGTGTAATAGAATGGGAATGTCGTAATAATTACGGTACGTTCTTGGATATGACCATATATATCGACGATAATGGTGCAATTCAACATCTTCCGTTTCGGAAAGCGAAATCCCATCAAGAAAGAATACCATGGGGCAGTGCTCATCCACTCGATGTTCGACGTGGAACTTTTATAGGAGAAATGTCCCGTTTAGCCACACTTAGTAGCACCCAGTCACACTACTTAGACGCCATATCAGGCCTGGCGGCCTTGTATGTAAAGCGTGGTTATCCTACCCAAGCAGTCTATTCTTGGCTGAATAAATACAAGAAAGAACGGTGGGAGAAACGACTCTCAACCAAAGACAAACAGGACACGGAAGATACCATTCTTGTTCTTAAGTCCGAGTTTAATACTGCATGGGATTATTTCAATGCAAAAGAACTTGGGAAATGTATTACGGATTATTGGAATTCGTGGTGGACACACGCGGAAACTGGCTCTTACACGGGCCTTTATCCGGCGTATAAACACGCAGCATCAGACTTAGTTGATCGCTCGGGCGACTTCGAAACTTTAATTGTGGAGAGGGACGACCTAGGCACTGCTCTGAAAGATGTAACTGTGCCGGATATACGCAAAACCAATTTTACCAAAGCTCGTTGGCTAGTCTCGCGGAAACGTACGACTAATCTTTTCGATCTTGCCAGTTCTTGGAAGAAAATTGTAATACAAACCCTGGACGAAGATGCTGTAAAAGAAATCTCCCAGGCACCATCTATTGACATGGATGCGGATATGTCGGACCAAGATGCTGGTCCTTCCCGCAATGTTGGTGGCGCCGTACCTGGAGACCTTGACTTCGTCTATCACACTGTGTGATTTAAATTAGATCTGACTGCGATCGTACGGAGGTGAACGTGAAACGCCGCCGAAAGACCGCACCCTACGGACGTGTTCTTAATTGATCACGGTGTATGCCCCCTCTTCCTAGTAGGCGTTTCGCCGGACGGTCGTAATGACGGCGGACTTAGTAAACCAGCGTAAAACCTGACGAACGGTTCAATGTTGTGACAGGGGGGTGTGCATCGCGCGAGGATTAAAAACCCTCCCTGTCCTTGTAGGAAGTAGCTTGTAACCAAAACCAGCGACGTGTACGCCGGATCTTAAACTAATTACTTATTGAAAGTTCTTTTGAACACACTATCTTGTAAGTACTACGATAACTGCGATTCCCGCAGACGGTATTAACCGAGGCTATTTAGGGAAGTTGAACCCTAACTCTAACCCCTAACCCCTAAACGTACATACTGTCATTTAATAGATGACGAACACATGCTAATATGTCAATTCATATAGCCTAACCCCTAACCCCTAACCCTAACTGGGCCTCACGGCCCGGTAACCCTAACCTAACCCTAACCGGCACTACGTGCCGAACCCTAACCGGTAAGTTAGGCCCGTAGTTTGGGCGTCTCTTCTCTCGGCCTGTCGGCTAGTGACCCGTAGACGCCTGGGGCGCTAAACAGGTAGCGCGCTTAAGGTAACGTAAGATTTTGATCGACAGCTGTCCCCGGCGGATCTCGGCGTTTTGTGCTAACCCCACGAGATGTCAAGTGGCTTTGATGCTAAGTCCGTCTTCTCGGGCTTTGGTCTTACTATTTAGGTTTTACGAGTTAGCCGATGCGACCGTACATCGGACGACGCTCACTAAGCGTCTAATGTATAAGGAGTATTGTTATCCCCTGGCAGTGTGGGACTGACCAATGGCACTAACAACGCTCGAACATGTGTTCCAAGATACAGGCAAAGTTCGTCAAGTACCAGAAGTACTATCGACGAGCAGTGTAAGTCTGTGACAATGTGAAACAGCCCTGATGAGCTATAAAAGCGAAACAGGATCTGGTGTAAGAAAGTATCTTACACCCTGTTGGCTGTTTTCGCTCTTACCCAACAAACTAACGAACTTGGCCCTTCCAAAAACGCCTCGTTCGCTTCGCTCACTCGTCGTTTTTGTCAGGACCACCCCTAACCCCCATGCACAAATGGACAGGAGTGAGAACATACACACCGCACATGATGATACCAATTCACTTCCAGGTTTTTCACACATCCATGCACGTCCCCGACGTGCGCTGTGTAGACTAAGTATCTGAAAAACACACAGTACAAAGAATATTCCATTGCAGCTGATCTGAATAATAGAATCTTTAGCCCTTTGGCCCAAGACATCCACTGGTTCTGACCACCTTTCGGTACCATTCACAGGCCGGGGGGTTAAGTACCCATTCGGCGCAATAGGCCATATCACCAGGGCACAGAGTAGGGCCAATCTGATTGTGATTGATGGTAGTTTAATTATATCAGTTATATTAGTTGTATCATGAGATTGTGAAGAGACCAGTGATCATTGGACATCGTGGACATGCATGAATTCATGAGAGAGCCTTTACTCTAATGGTCAGTGAATTTATCATCAGAGCATCTGTACACGTCTATGACGTGCACTGTGCACACGATCACTCTCCTCTCAGACCATTGGACTGGGTCTCTTCACGATCTCATAATGCCATGAATTATGATTGGATTGGTGTTACTCTGTATGGCCTACTTGTCTCATATCATGTCGAGCATCTATTGGTTTTCTGGGGGGTTGGAATACACAGCACATGTCACAGACGTACAAGGATGTGTGAAAAAAATACAGTTCCACTAATAGAGAACACAGGCCACGTCGTGGACGTGCCTGGATCTGTGAAAGACAACAGAAGATGAGCGGGAGCACTTGGGGTACACGGCGCACGTCATGGGCGTGCATGGATTGAGCACAAGAGAAGGTTTAATGGTTGAGTGGCAGTGGGAAAGACAATTTACCGTCGCTGCCAAGTTTGTTGTGGGCTCAGGTGGGATTGATTATTAGATTATTTCATGCTCATAAGGTTTTGTTTAACATTGCTGTAGTCATGGTCAGATAGTCTAGTGGCAAAGGATGATTTGGTAGAAGATCATCGAGCACCAAATAGGCGGGGGTTCAATTCCATCTCTGGCCAATCTTGTCAATGTAATGGTTTTTTGGGTCTTCATTGTGTTTCATACATCTGTGCACATCCACGACGTGAGCTGTGTACCTTGTCACTTTATATTTGGTCACTTTTGTGTGTACTTTATGACTTGCCCACATCAAGGGACGTCTACGACGTGCACTGCGTACTCTATGACTTGTGCAGCACATCAAGTAAGGTGGTACACTGGCATGGATATTTAGATGAGTGGGAGTGATGGTGTACACCGCACACATCGTGGATGTGCCTGGAGGTGTAAAAAAACGCAAGTTCAAATGGGTGGAAGTGATAGAGTACACCGTGCGCGTTGTGGACGTCCATGGATGTGTGTTCCACGCATTATGTGGATGTAAGGTCTGTCAGACATCAGGGCACGTCCATGACGTGCACTATGTACTTTACCACTTGCACAAATGATAGAGTACGCAGTGTACACTACAGAGAAAGTGGGTGGTAGTCAGCGTGGATGTGTGAAAGAGCAATTGGGTACACCGCGCACGTCGTGGACGTGCATGGATGCCCTGAGTACAAGAGAAGGTTTAATGAGCAGATGGAGTGGCAGTGGGAAAGACAAATTACCATTGCTGACAGGTTTGTTGTATGAATGCCAGTGTACAAACTTACCTTGATGTGCACTGTGTACTTTATCGCTTTTGTGTACTGTATGACTTGCACAAATCATAGAGTACACAGTGCATACACCTCCAGGCACGTCCACGACGTGCAGGTGTGTACCACCTTACCTTGATGTGCACTGTGCACTTGATCACTTGGACAAATTCATGAATGTGGATGTATCGGGGGTCATAGTGTACACCATGCACGTCATGGACGTGCATAGATGTGTGGAAGTCATAGAGTATACGAAAGTGATCAAGTACACAGTGCACATCAAGGTAAGGTGGTACACCGTGCACGTCATGGACGTGTCTAGAGGTGTATACACTGTGTACTCTATGATTTGCACAGATTCATGGATTACATGAATTTGTGCAAGTCATACAGTACACAAAAGCGATAAAGTACACAGTGCACATCAAGGTAAGTTTGTACACTGGCATTGATAGGGTACACCGCACACGTCGTGGACGTGCACAAACGTGTAAAACACAATGAAGAACCAAAAAAAATCATTGGCCAGAGAGGGAATCGAACCCCCGCCTACTTGATAGAAGTGTACTGGAGCTCACAGGCTATTCTACCAAGTCGTCATTTACCACTAGACTATCTGGCCATGACTACATCCCACGTTAAATTGTGCAAGTCATAGAGTACACAGTGCATACACCTCCAGTCACGTCCACGACGTGCACGGTGTATGCTATCAATGCCAGTGTACCGCCTTACCTTGATGTGCACTGTATACTTGATCACTTTTGTGTACTCTATGACTTCCACACATGTATGCACGTCCATGATGTGCATGGTGTACACTATGACCCCCGATACATCCACATCCATGAATTTGTCCAAGTGATCAAGTGCACAGTGCACATCAACGTAAGGTGGTACACACCTGCACGTCGTGGACGTGCCTGGAGGTGTATGCACTGTGTATTGATAAAGTACACAGTGCACGTCATAGACAGCGATAAAGTACACAGTGCACATCAAGGCTGGCATTGATAGTGTACACCGCATACGTCGTGGACGTGCACAAACGTGTAAAACACAATGAAGAACCAAAAAAAATCATTGGCCAGAGAGGGAATCGAACCCCCGCCTACTTGATAGAAGTGTACTGGAGCTCACAGGTTATTCTACCAAGTCGTCATTTACCACTAGACTATCTGGCCATGACTACATCCCACGTTAAATTGTGCAAGTCATAGAGTACACAGTGCACACACCTCCAGGCACGTCCACGACGTGCACGGTGTACCGTATCAATGCCAGTGTACCGCCTTACCTTGATGTGCACTGTATACTTGATAACTTTTGTGTACTCTATGACTTCCACACATCCAAGCACGTCTATGACGTGCACTGTGTACTTTACCACTTGGACAAATTCATGGATGTGGATGTATCAGGGGTCCTAGTGTACACCATGCACGTCGTGGACGTGCCTGGATGTGTGGGAGTCATAGAGTACACAAAATTGATCAAGTACAGAGTGCACATCATGGTAAGGTGGCACACCGTACACGTCGTGGACGTGCCTAGAGGTATATACACTGTGTACTCTATGACTTACTGAATTTGTGCAAGTACACAGCGCACGTCATAGACGTCTCCTGATGTGGGCAAGTCATAGAGTCCACAGAGTACACCGCACACCTCCTGGAGGTGGGTGGATGTGTGAAAGTATATACTCTATGTTATACAGCATACAGCCCAAGCCCCATAAACCTCTAATATCAGCACCCTGCCCATACTACAGTCCCTCCCCTAGCGCACCAAGTCCAAACCCTACGCTCCTCCAAAGCCAGAATGTCCAGGGGCCGTGCAGACCCTAGGCCACTCCTAAGCCACCCCTAGGGTTGAGAAAACGCTAGATGGATCCTACATGCCTCTAATAACCCTAACCCTAAGATGAAAGTGTAAGCGAATGAAGCACCTTTACACACCTTGTCCCAAAGAAACTTCAGCCTCTTCAGTCTACTCTAGTATTGGGATCGTTTGCTAATAGATAGTTTTCTTGAGTCACGGTGAGCTCATTGTGGACTGCAGTACTTCGAAATCCGACTTTCCGCAATAGCCAACGCCCTGAAGATGAAGTTATTTCAAGTGGCGAAAAGGGTGGACTGGCGTTTGTATGTTGGTTTTCCGTTTGTTCCCGGCGCGTAAACTGGAGGCTTTGAAATGGAAGTAGTAAAACTAGTCGGAGGATAGTGGAAGGGCGGAGAAGAGCGATATAGACTTGCATAAACAACGACAGGTTTTACTGGTTTCTATGCTGAAACAGCGGAGCCTCGCTCTGTCAACGCAAAAAAAAGAAACTCTAGGATGTAATTAATTCGATATCAGTGCTGAGATATGGACGATTCACGTACTCGAGCATAGATTCGTTCCCATGACTAGTGATTCTAATATGCGCCAGTCCACGCCACATAGCGAGTCCTGAGCGCTCAGCGTAGAGCTTGGATGGCGGCTCTCTGACAGTTAGTTAGAAGATTACCGACAAGATGGAACACAATGTACCGTTGTTATTTGATTGAACAAAGCTGCAACATGGGCTAGCCACGAGAACAGAGTTGGAGTAATGAACGGCCGATTGAACCAACTTGAGTGTACACGGATTGATTCCATAAGTCACATACACGATTCCAGGCAGATGAAGCAGCAGATGGTTTCGAGCCACAAACTTCCCTTTCGGCCCTACCAGCGAGCAGGGATTCAATAGCGACAAGAAAGTTTGGTGCAGAAGTTGGCTTTGGCGGAGAAATTTTGGTGTGAGAGCCTGCAGCGCCTGAAGAAATAGATGTTAATGATAGGTCCGTGAAGCTTTGGGCTTTACTGGCAGGACCTTATTTCGTACAGCCGGAGAATCTTTTTGATTTCCATGGATGAGGGAGTTTTATGAGTTGATTGAGAGAGTTTTTGTTTGCGACCTGTCCTCTGCAATTATAGAACCCCGCCATCTTGGTGAGCGCGTAAAGAAACAAGAGTCAAGATGACAGAAGGAAAGCAAAAAGTTTTGTTGATTGGCGCTTATCATTACGCCCGATTAGCAGCTCTTGTCATTAACCACCAATGATTATCGAAGGTATATCCCCAAGTCCTCTGCCTCCTCCTCAAAACATAGAACACAGGTTTCAAACTCCATATCACTTACATAAATGCATACACTTCCGCGTACAACTTCCACCAAAGCGTTCTAGGAGATGTCGATGATCATGACGCCTCAATATTCAATCATTTAAGCCAGAGTTCTCGGATTTCCCCTCATCCTAGCTCCAAAAGATACCGTCTGAGCCGAAGTTGTGTCTACAGTTGCCTCATGCAGCAATGACTCCGCGCTTTATGATCTTGGAGAAGTATATACGGATTTTTTCATCCGTCCGTGTAAGTTTTGGCTATGCAGTATCGCTTCTTAATTATAACCAAACCGATTGACCACAGTTAAGAAGTACAAAGGTTCGCGTACTCCAACCCTGGAAAGTCATCCCAGTTGCCCCTCTTTTGACCTTCGGAAGCAAGAGATCAAGTCCATGATACACGACAGTCATGAGAGCTTATATCTTGTTTCTTTCCACTGGCTTTGCTAAGTTTCAGACCTAGGCTCTCTACCGAGATGGATATTGATGTAGACTTTTGAACCGAGTTATGCTTTGAAAGCGTACTTCGAAGATTATCCAGACACAAGAGAACTCCAGCACTTGCGTTCAGCAGTGACGCACTGTGCCCATATTATTCCAGCTTCTACATATTTCAAACTTTCCAATGAGACTAAGGTGCATTATTGCATATCGTTCCTGTTCGTACCTTCTCTTATCCTTGACTGAAAGATTACGCTGCGTCCGTCCTCGCTGTTCTTGCGCGCTTCGGATATAACGTGAACAATCTTGATGGGCCTAAAATCCATTCACTATTCAATGTTATGACGTTGAACCTGGTGAAACTGGCTGTACACAACTCGTTTGACCAATTAATACTCTGGTTTGAGGCTACGGTGCGTTAACCTAATCCTCCTCACTTTTGCTGCGTGTTGAACAAGAAGTGATACTCCAGCAAACTCCTCGTCGCTACGAAATAAAACATCTCGACCCATTCGATGCGGATCTGGCCAACATCTCTCCCTTTACAACATTCGCTACTTTGGAACCCTCACTTTCTCTCCCCGATCCAGCATTACTCGCTCTCCATGCTACTTGTGCCAAGGTCGCACATCTCTCTGGAGCCGGCGAATATATTGATAGAGTTCAGAGAGACCTTCAACATTTGGATGTGCTAGCGGAGGATGGTGGATCATCTGACATCCTCTTTCACGCCCTTTATGTATCCACGATCTTAGTAGAAAAGTTTACCTTACTGAACCCAAATAG